TACATATACATATACATATACATATACATATACATATAATCGCCTGTATGCATAGCGTATAAAAGAAGGGAATAGAATATTTTCTATGGTTGGGAGATAATTTTGACGAGTTGATATTCGAGATAGAAAGATAGGAGGTGTATGAACAAACAAAGAAAACGAAGATTTTGAAATACCCATGAATGTCGTTCTTGAAAACAGTAATTATTAAAAAAGAAATAGGTAAAGAAGATGTGACGTATGGCAACTTCCACCTGGGGACTTTTTTAAGCATTATGCAGTTTTTATCGCTGCATTTGCTTAATTCATTATCTTCTTCATTATTCTGAGTAATCCAAAGATCCAATTCAGACAAGTAACATTATCATAATGTATTTCAGGTTAATGACTTTTTCAAAAAATTGACTGAATTTTTTGATACCATTTCATCCTTAATTTTTGAAATACTCTGGTAACTCTCCCTCATGGTATTTAAAAGAGTTACTTTGAACTTTGCAAGAAAAATGGGAAGTTTTTTCATTCCTTTGTGTTTTTTGATTGTTGTCTTATAATCTAATTGATTTATTAATTAACTTCTTAACTGAAAAACTAAATTAGTGAGGAGGACTTAATATTAAGATGAAATATAAAAGTAAGAGTATATCGTGTTGTGTAATAGTAGTACACGATGTTAGAAATGAGGAAACCAAAAAATAGCTTTGCTAGCTGATTTTAATTTAGTGGGAAGCAATTCTTCTGAAGAAGTCCGGTATAAGGAAAGTATATTAAGAATTAACAACGGGCACATATACGTGAGGATTAATGAAGAAAAAGTAAACTACCTGTGTTAAGCTGCATATCAGAAGAATAGCATGGAGTAGAACCATAACTGAATATTGCTCTCCCTTCTTCATATTTATATGCTATGAAATGATAATGAAATTAACTGTGGCTCCTGAAATGCCATATGTGTCCCCAATTTACTCATCCTTTATTCTACATAATTGTTTGCAGTAATGATCTCGTCATAATTCAAATATGTATCATTCTCACATGTATCATTTTTATATTTTTATTCATCATCATTTTAATTAAACAATACAAACAAATATATTATTTTAAATGGTGTTGACACTAATTTTTATATATCCTTATTGAATATTACCATAAGCATTAAATTTATGAATTAGCAAAACCCGCTAAAAATCCCTCGAGAAAGCATGAAAATAAAAATGATAAAAAATTATTGTTACCGGGAATATTCCCCAGAATCCTGAGTGCTTCACGTTATTTCTGTATGATACTTTTTGCTTTTCATAAATTCATGGAAAAGACAGACGCAAATCCTTTCTCTGGTTCTTCGCTTTACTTTTCAAAACGATGCAATGCATACAGTAGATTAAATGAAATAGAGCCAAGAATTAAAAGCTGAGGTAAAGGGACGCCATTCCTCTTTATTTGATTTAGCACTTCTTATATCCGACCTATCCATCACACGAAACTTCGGAATAACCGGAGCCGTTAGCTCTAACAGTCATCAGTTTATTCCTGATACATAACTACAATCTGTTCCCTCAATAATAATTCTATTAAATCATAAGAACATTTTAGATGCTGCGTTTATGATTTGGCTTTCAAACCAGATGGTTCGGAATTGCTCGTTGCTGCTGATACGAAAGTTTTGATTTATGACGGTACAGATGGCACATTATTGCAGTCGTTGAAAGGTTCACTAAAATTCTTTTAAATCTTATTAACGTCTTTTAGTCTTATTAACGCACAACACAATAAAACCTTATTTCTTTGTCGGCAGGTCATAAGGATCTCGTGTATGCCGTTGCATTTTCATATAATGGCGAAAATTTTGCATCTGGTTCCGCTGACCGTTCCGTTATTATATGGACAGAGCAGCATGAAGGAACGCTTAAATATATGTAATATTTTTTTTCAAAAATCGCCATCTACAGTTTTCAGTATTGAGTTACTTATACTTTTATTTTTATTTCATGTAGATTTCGCTATATTACTATCGTAGTTGAATAATGTATCCGTCGTTGTAAGTATAACGAACCTTCCCTGTGCTTAGCATTGCACTACAGTGAAATATTGTATAAGATTTGGTATTTAATATTATATTACTCTTCATCAAAACTGTAATTAACACCGATTGTAACTTATATAGAGATAATTAAAACTTGTGTTGTATTAACATGTCAGTCTACATTTTTAGATATTAAAAAAGTCAGGGATTTGAATCCTAAATGTTTCAAAACTTTAATATTCTTGCACAATACTTAATATGCTAGCATAACTCGCAAAATGAGCTTCTATCGAAAATTTATAAGCAGATAGAGTTGTAGATGCAGATAACAGACTTTTATTAATTTAACATTTGAAGATCTTTCATCCTTATTAGATAGATCATTTTTAGACACAATGAAGCAATACAGTGCCTTGCTTTTAGTCCTGCAACATGCTTTTTGCTTAGCTGTGCCATCAGTGATTTCGGTAAGCATTTGAATTGATCTTCGTTGTTTAATAGGAAAAATGATTATCTATCTTTAACATGTAATTTCGTAATTGTGGCTTGGAAATTAATATAATATATCCTAATAGATGAAATTTGAACTGAACAAATTTGATAACCTCAAAGTTGAATCTAAAGATCGAACTTTTTTTATAAGTTTGGATTGTAATCCAACTCATAGAGGCTTTATCCTTAATTATCTCCAGGGATATGGACTCAATTGGAAAAAAGTGTTAGCAAACAGCGAACATCAAGCAGGTGCATTTGTTGCGCATGGAGTTGTGATGGTCAACTTTATGCCATTGGAATGTTCGACGGTACTGTATCTCTGCGTTCCGCAGCGGTCAATTGCTTTTATTCTTTTTTCCACGGAGGCGAGCATAAAAATAGGGAATTTGTAATTGACACAGATTTTTGTCCGTTTTGCCTTCTCTGATTTCCGTCCTCGAGCTCGAATTTCTGAGTTTCCTTTTTGCTGATGCATTTCTGCCCAAATATTTTCAAGCATTAGTTATTGCGTTAAAAAAAAACTTGTTCTGTAGTAAACGCCAAAGGTTAAATACGGTACATTTCGAACACAGACAAAGATGATCAGAAAAAAACATAAAAATTCATTCCATAACAAGATCATCCGGAAATAGCAAGAGTTTACATTTTTAAAAGAGTTTTTATTATAACAACACAGAATGTCGTCTCTTCATACACTGTTTTAGTTTATCTTTCAGAACAGTATAGAAATAAAAAAGATTGAACGACCTTCTGGTGAACCTGTTTGGGCGATTGCTTTTGGGGCAGCTCGAAGCACTGCGTGAGTTCCTTTCAAACCTTTTTATTTGTATGTCTTGCTTAAAAATTCTTCAAAAAATAAAAAGCTTGCTTATAGCGATGCTTCATGGCATTGTAATCCCAATATTCACAAAAGGTAAGTTGTTTTCTTCTTTCTCTTCTTTTTCAATTATATATCATTTTTTCCATCCAAATATTATTGTGACCAGAAAATTAAGTAAAAATATCGATTTTAAAGAATTTTTTTTAATACGTCGAAGATGATTGTTTTCTGAATATTTCCCAAGAGTGAATTTATGAGCACAGAATCTTTTTATTACTTTCAGCACTTTTGACGAACTTTTGGTATTGGTAGATTGGGCACAAACAGCTTCATTTTACGATTTGGAGGGAAATCAAGTCGGCGATATTATCCTATTTAACTATTGTTTTTCTGTTTTCTAAGTTTATTGAGACTTTTAACCTGTAGAGGTGCGGTAATTATGTTTGGAGTTCATTGTTAATACTGGTGTATACTATTTGTCTACCGTTTTATTTTGTAAGCTTTTTTTATAACTGAAGTTCGAATCCTGCAAAAAAATTGCCATTATGTGGGTTGCAGCTTGTTCAAGAAGACAAAAAACTTGGATATGATCCTACAGCAATAGAATTTTTTAACTATGGTCAATTTTTAATAATTTGCGGCTCCAATCGTCAGGTCACTCTTTATAGTCGTGAAGGTTTGTATAATATGTGCGCTGCACTCCTATTAAACTTTAATAACCATTATGTTTTAAATTAGGAATGATATCTTAAAAGTTTTATTTCTGATTTTTGGATGAGTGCAATTTTTTATCATACACGAAATCAATCACTGCTGTAGGAACAACGCTGGGTACAGTTGCACAGATGGATACGTGGGTGTGGACAGTAAAAACTAGACCGAATACAAACGCAATTGTTGGTTAGTCCTAATCATCTTCAACTTTCCGTACGTATTATGTAATAAAATTATAGCGAAAAATCTATAATAGCTATTTGCAGTTGGTTGCGTGGATGGTACATTGGCATGCTACCAGTTAATGTTTAGCACTGTTCACGGATTGCATAAAGCAAGTCACAAAGAAACACTTTTAATTTACTTATGATATTTACTTTGAATACTCTGACTTTATTCAATTAAAAATTCTTCTATCACGTTACACTGCTGGCGTTTGAATCCATTGGTACCATTTAGAAAATTTTTAGGAGCAATATGCTTACCGCGAAAATATGACCGAAGTGGTTGTGCAACATCTCGCAAAAACATCCATCAGAATTTATTGTAATGACTTAGTTCGTAAAGTGGCTGTATACTATAACCATCTAGCAGTAAGTTTTATTTTTTATTTTGGTGGTGTGAAGAATCATTTCTTGCTCGTAAATATATGATTTCAGACTGATAAGCCGTAAATAAAAAATTTGAGCATGCTACTTGAAAAAGTAGTTCTTTTGAACATGCATTTTATTAAATATATACTAATGAAAGTTTATTTTAGGTGCAGCTCATCGATCGTATTGAAATATATCGCCTTATCGTAGAACGCAATAATGGACAATTGGAATATAAATTGATTGAGAAAATAAACCGTGCTTTCGAATGCTCACTACTTGTGAATACATAACATCCTTTTATATAGTATCATGAAGCTCAAAGATAGAATTTTCATATGAAATATAACTATTTCACTTGTATTTCATTCCAGTTTGCAAAGAAAAATTTCCTATATAGGTGATCTGCGCTCATCATCTGATACTATGCCAGGAACGATGTTTACAATGCTATGACCATAAAGGTCTTAAACAACGGGAATGGCTACTTGAATCTCTAATACGTTATATAAAGGTTGTTGGTGGTCCACCGGGACGAGAAGCAATATTAATCGGTCTGCGGAATGGTGCCGTAAGTTTATTTGAATGAAAATATCTGTGCTAATTTTATCAAAGAAAGTGAAAAAATTTACCGTGTTTGTCTAAATTGTTTGGAAAATTTTTCTATTTGATAAAAGATGAAGGGTTTAGGTATGTAAAATCTTTGTGGATAATCCGTTCATAACAGAAGTATTGCGTTTAAAAAGTGCTGTCAGATGCCTTGATATCAGCCATTTGAGGTATCTTCTTAACTAAAACTTCCTTAGCTATTCGATGATGTTTCGTACTTTTTCACTTCGAGTAGTAATTGTGAATTTCAGGGAAAAGCTTGCAATTGTCGATGAAACTGGAGTTTGTACCACTTTTGATATCAAAACCAAACAGCTTCTATTCCAAGTTCGGTGTAATAACTTTTGCAGCAATTGGATTTTGTAAATTGTAATGTGAGAAACTGATGAATTTTTATAGGAACCATCATGTAACAGTGTTGCATGGAACGCTGATCACGAGAATCTTTTATGTTACTCTGGTGGTGGTGTATTGTGCATTAAAGCTAACAATTTCTCTTCGCATCAACAGAGAATGCAAGTATGATTTCAAAAGAAAAAATTTTTTTTGTTTTATGTTGTACCGTTTCGTGTCGAAGAATTTGTGAAATGACTATTTTTTTATTGATGAAAAATATTTAGTTAAGAATATGATTTTTTTTAGGGTTTTGTAGTTGGATTTTCGGGCAAGCGTGTCTTTTGCTTGCATATGTTTGCCATGATTGCAGTGGAAGTGCCTTTGTCTAATCAGTTATACCAGTACCTTGAACAGAAAATGTACAAGTAAGAGTTTGAGATAATTTCAACGAATATAAAAGGATAAAGTGCAACAATAGGTAATTGATATGTTTCTATTATGTTTGTAGGGAAGCATACGATTTGGCATCATTGGGTGTAACAGAAAGTGATTGGGAAGTTCTTGGCCACGATGCTTTACTTAACTTTCAACTTGACATTGCCCAAAAAGCTTTTCATAGGATTAAAGATGCGCGCTACCTTCAACTGATCTCCGAAGTCAAAGTATGGAAATTAAAATTTCGAATCTGTTCATTTATCCCGGTGTACAAAGTTATGTCTTATATTTTGATCTGCCGAAGAATTATTTTGATTTCAATTAAACTCTAGGACATGATAAAAAGGGATGCGAAAAGGGAATTAATGCTGGGATATATAAAAGCTTATGAAGGAAGATATCGCGATGCAGCGATATTGTTCCAAAATACTGGATGTGAGCAAAAAACGCTAGAAATGTTCACAGATTTGCGCATGTTTGATCAAGCCCAGGTTGGAAGATAAATCGATGTTTGTCTTGCAGAGTTATACTTTTGTTTTAATTTTCTAAATATTTTGATGAATATGCTTAATATTTATTCTTTTACTTGGTTTCATTATCTATCTACTCAGTCATTCCGTGCAACCATCATTTTTCGGTGCACAGATTCTTTTTTCCTAAACACTGAGATATCTTTATTCAGGAATTGTTATCCTCCGCCTCCGGAGAAACTCAAAAAACCCTGTTGCGAAGGCGTGCTGCTTGGGCACAGAATTCAAATGAGCCTATAATTGCAGCCGAAATGTTTGTGGCTTCAGGCGATTACGATAAAGCCGTTAATCTTATGATCAAAAATGACTGGATTGATATGTAAGCCTTTTATCTTTTGTTTAGAAGGTGAGCGTTTGCATATAAAATTGTTTTTTCTTCTTTTTCTATACATTTTTTAATTGGAAATGCGAGCAAATGTTTAGGCTGATCAAGCTCGCACATCGTATTGATCGAAACAACGTTGATGTATTACGCACCATTGGAAATTATTTGGCAAAAAAAGAGGAATACACTCTTGCCTCCCATTTATTCCAATCAATCAATGATATTCATGCATTATTAAACATGTACGTCGATGCGGCGCTATGGAATGATATAAGTTTTTATTCACGATTTATAAATTTTTTAAGTATGGTGATTTTCATATCTCATTTTATTTCTTTTCGTTTTATATTTAAAAAAAAGATTTCAAATAACAAGCCCATTTTTCAGGCATTTCTAGTAGCAGCAAAGTATCAAAAATATAATAAAGAAGTTTACCTGCCTTACGCACGTTGGTTAGCAGAAAATGATCGTTTTGACGAAGCTCAAAAAGGTCGGTGAATTTTAAAGCACCTTTTTTTATTTTTTTAAAATTTTATAATTTTTATTTAATAATGAATATTTAATGCTTTCTTCCATTTACACAAAAATAAATGATGACTTCATATTTTACAGCCTATCATATGGCTGGGCATGATGTGGAAGCATTACAAGTTTTGGAGCAATTAATGGGGAATGCTGTTCGAGAAAACCGTTTCTCTGATGCTGGCTATTATAGTTGGATGCTAAGCATGCAATATCTGGAGCGGTGCAGCGGTGATCTTAAATTGAATGAAAAATTTCTGGATTTTAGTGATAAAGCAAATTGCTACTATGCTTTCGATGTCATTCATAAATATCTGGTAATGATTAATATGAATTAATGATTATTAAATTACTGGATTTGAGCTATTGCTTATTTCTTTCTCGCAGAAATGTATTTATTGCTTTTTCAAGAATAATATTGAAAGGAATATTCAGAAAATTGAGTTGAAAATTCCATTTGATAACATTCCATGACTAAAATGTAATTTTCACATTTTAGTCTCTGAATGGATTCAATTAAAATGTTGTTTCTCATATTGGAGTCTTAACGCATCTTCTAATTTGCTTTTTACCATTTATACTCATGAAGAAAGCATTTTACAGGCCGAACCTTTTACGAGCTGTCCAGCCGATGCTCTAATCAATATTGCACGTTATTTGGCTTTTCAAAAGGAAATTTATAAAATATCGCGAGTGTAATTTTTTTTAAATTAGTTTTAAGGATAAAATTGGTAAAAATATTTTGTTTTCAGTACACTCTTAGGTCGGTATATGATCAAGGTAGTGTCAAGTATATAAGCAAGTTTCTCAGTTATATTATTAGTTGACATTACTGAACATGTCCACTAATTTATATTCAAACCGATATTGCTCCATAAGTAATTTCTTTCCTAATTCCTTCTCCGGAAAACAGTTTTCCGTGCTATTTGTCCTTA